TGCTATGGTGTTAGGGTACTTGATTGTGTGGCCATTTTATTTATATTTCATATAAATAAAATCACCACAAAATTCTAATATATATTTGTTCTCTGCCAAATGCAGATATGTGTTCCACCTCATTTAGTATTATATGGTGACGGGCTTATTATATCATATCCAGGACGGCTGAGAGCCTCCAACAATCACAATTTCGGAGGTCATGGATGGAGCAGGCGCAGCCGGGAAGTATTTCATTGGGTTTCTCTCTGGACCAGCTGGTATGTATTCATCGGGTTTCATCCTTTTGGTTTTATTGCTGCAGAACATCGAGTAAACATCACCAGAAAAACAACGAAAATGAAACTATTTGGGATGTAATGGTTAGGAGAAGTACGAGGGTGAAGGTGGAAGATTAGAGAACTCAAGAATGTAATCTGCAGGAAAGTTTAAAAAAATGATGCATCTTATAGATGAAGATGTTTGTAGTAGGCAAAGATGTTTTTTTGAGTCAACCTTCAAAGTTGAATAAAAATCAGGGTATAGGAGGTGAGAAAAATGTAATCTTGGGGTAGAATGAAAGTAGTAGTGCTGAAAGTCAAAGGAAATTGTTAAAAATAAATAAAATTAATGAAAGCATGAGTTTTTATTGTGCTTGAGCCACTGTAGACATTGTATTGTTACTGTGATTATAGTGGCTATTGCATGAGCATACAGTACTTCCTCAGAAAATTTAAACTTTTATTTTTTCAGTAGACTGATTTAGCTTGTTTTTGCCCGATACAATTGTCTATGATATTTATCTTGAAACAGAAAAGATATCATATAACACTATGGAAGTCATTTTCACATGTTAACATATATGTAAAATGCAGATCTTGTTTAATATTTGTGCATACCTATCTTCAATCGGGCTTCTGCGTTACTGATCAGGTTCATAAACTTATGGCAGAAAAAGAAAATGTAATTTTAACTGTTCTGTTGTATGATGAATGTATGGGGTGCTTTAGATTTCTTACTTTTCTACTGCTTTAAATTTTGTGATGAATAAAGTATTGTTACTAATTAATCGAACCCTTTTAATAACTAATTCTATATTTTAGCTTTTATCTGTTAACACAACAAACTTTTAAATTCTTGAACACTTTTCAACTTCTACAACAGTAAACCAGCCATTCTAAAAGAGGAACCATGCATATTCAAAAACAGCTGTTGGTTGTTGCATTAAAAGACAACCATTCTTAGATTTTTTAGTCGTGCGTGATTTGAGCTTGAGTGTTGTCTTTTGATATTTTTGGATCTTGTTTACCTTTTTCGGAAAGCTTACCATTATGTTATGTAACAGGGCTAAACAAAAACAACGCACTGAAAGCTTGTTATGGAATCAGAGTGAAATGCAATTTCAACAGTAAAAGATTTTGTGAGAGTCGATTTGTGCCTGTTTGTCCTGATCCAGACAATTATATATTATGGGATGGCTTGCATTTAACGCAAGAGGCCTCCCATCGTATCGAGTCGATTCTCATCTAACCGGCTCTCTCGACGGTCAACTGTGCACCCTAACTTGGCATGGACTTAATATTTCTACTTCTAAATATTTAACCAAGGTTAAATATGCATTATACATCGGTCGTCAACTATCGATTAAAGTATCAGATTTCTACATTTTGAAATTTCGAATAAGTAAATGAAGTTTGTATTACGTCATCCGTTTATGAACATGGTTTGATGGGACCATGGCTTAAGATTGTATTCCCAATCCTATTGTTTATGATGATGGTTTGATGGGACCATGGCTTAAGATGATTGAATGTTTGATTATGAAGTAAATTGTAATCAAATGATTTCAACCTATATGAAGTTATATTTCATGGAGATATGTACTGTAAAATTTAAATTGGAGATTTAAAGTTACATTCTAAAGAGTACACAATCTTCATTGGGCATGCTTCTAAATAGTACACATTCTCTATANTCTAGTTTATAATTACATGAGTTCTATCTTGATTTTATGAGATTGTTTTTATTGCAGGTTAGAGCCATGTTGAGTGATGCTTTTCTTCATTAGTCGCAACATGCTTTTTGTATGATCTTTTTTCTAAAAAATGGTTTTAATATGTGATACTCTCATTCCGTGTGATGCTTTTCTTCATTAGTTGCAACATGCTTTGTGTATGATCTTTTTCCTAAAGAATGGTTTTAATACGTGATACTCTCATTCTGGTTATAATTACGCACGCATCCTATTTTACGCATTATGGGAAATAAAACTATGCAAGGTCACAGACGTCGAGACTTTCTAAACAAAAGCAGCATTGCTCTGCGAGTTTATGCTCAAGCCTCATGAAGAAATAGCTTCCAAGTTTAAAATTTAGTCCAAATTTATGTTGTTATATATCTTGGGTAGATTATTACGTCAATAGCAAAATATTTTTTTAAACACGGCTTCTATGATTTTATGGTGAACAAAACATTTTCTTTTGACGTTTTTTTGTGATTGTTGGATAATTAGTTGTGGGGCTCCTACCTTTACGATGGCTTCATATGAAGTAATTTCAATCTACTTTTAGAAATATTGAAAAATGTATGTATGTGCACTTTTCGGGTCGACAAATGTATGTATAAGGTTGGACACATTTTTACTAACAATTTTTTTGGGCCGACAAAAAACCAAACAATATTTACAGTTGTAGACTAAATTCGGCCGCAACCATGAAACCTGAATTATTTTCTAAATCCCATCTATTTAAAACAATTAAATGTACCACTTTTTATGACTTCAAATGTGTTTTGTTGTTCTTAAAATTGAACCAAACACTTACACCAATGTTCTCAATGTTATCATTTAACAAAGAAGAAAAATGTTGGTTTCAAGAGAAAAATCAATGCAAAAATTGTCAAAAGTATGACCCCATCGAGGAAAACTGTTGGGGCAGAAGACAAAGTTAGCGGGCCAATTTTTCAGAAGAGACTGAACCAGAAGAATTATTGTTCTATGTTTCCAACGGTACAGCAAGAGACAAAAAAAGCATTTGGTACTTGAACAGCGGCAGTAATAATCACATGACATTCGATGAAACTATCTTTTGCGATATTGAAAAATTCAATTCAAAAGTCAAGATTGGAAACGACAACTACGTGGAAGCAACATGCAAAGGAACTATCGCCATTGATACAAGAAAAGGGACAAAATACATCAAAGATGTCCTCTTAGTTCCAATGATTGATAAAAAAAAAAAAGGCTACAACTTGCATTTCAGGGGAGAATCATGCACCATTTACGACAAGAACAATAAAGAAATTGCAAAAATCAAAATGATGGAGAATCAATGTTTTGCATTGAAATTTCAATACCCAAAACAAATTATCAAATCAAGTGTCAACAGTCAAGGAGAAGACGCCAAGAAGAAAAATACCGAATTCCCAGAATCAAGCCATCAGGAAAAGCAAGCTCAAACAGTTACAGAGACAAGCTACCAAACCATTACAGAGTATCTTATACTACCACAAAATGTGCAATCGAGCAATTATGGAGCCAAATACAGGAGATTTCACTACAAGAAAAATTCAAAGACAAGCTATACGAAACCACTATATACATGGACAAGCAAATAAAGCTCAAGTATATCACTAAAGAGGAGCAACTAGCGGATATCTTCACAAAGGCTTTAACGAGACTAAGATTCAAGACTGCGCAAAAAACTTGAAATTATCCAAATGAGCGGCAAGGGGGAGTGTTGAAATTGCCGCTTCATTAGGAAATATCAAGATATTTCTAGAAGCTAAATTTTACTTGGTCATTAAGAAAAAAAAAAATAAGAAATAAAAATGTCAACAAAAGTGCAACATCACCGACTTGGTGTCTTATAAATATAGGTGGATGTATGAAGTAGGGGTAGGAATTACAGAGTAGAAATTACAATCCACTATTTTGTATCCCACTACTTCCATATATTCTTGATTGATACAATCAGTTCTCCTCTACTTGCAAGTTATAACAATACCATTGTCCATATAATTGAATCCTATTAATATTAATATGTGGAACTTACACTCGTCTTGGTATATGTTAATGATATTAACTATAATAGGATGTCTCCAAGGATGACGCTATCCGATTCTGCAGCTAAAGATATAGTCGTCTCGGCTATTTGTTATGCTTCAAGGAAGGACCCTTCAACGGGGGGTTATGTGACAGGTTGGTTAATTTTGTTTTCAAAATATAAATTTATCTTCTACTTAGTAATCTAATAGTTTTGGTTTTTTCAGTGTTTCACATGTCCAAGGGACACATGGTGAAAGCAGGAATTCAAGATATTGTTGAGACGCCGCGCCTCGAGAACGAGTCTACAAATGATGATGAGAATGAGTCATGAGCCAAATTAGGTAATCTCACTTTATTATAACCTGCTGCTCTAGTTTCCATTTTCTGGTAATATTTTCATAAAACTGAAAGCAAGATCCTTGTATTATAATCATGTAATGTTATGAGACTGCTAAACTTTCCATACTTTATGTTTAAAACTAAACTAATTACCTGAGCGTACAAAATGAAGACAAAATCTACTTCCTACTTTTGTCACTTCAAGCCTTTTCTTTTCCTTTATCGGAACTGACTGTTTCTTGTATCCGCTGTAACAGATTAAGATTTTGGATGAATTCACCACGGGCGTCGAGAATCTGATACATATGATTTTTTTGGAATTATCTGATTCAAACTTATGTTTTGTTGGTGGCTGAGTACCTCTGATATTTTTGGAATTATCTGATTCAAACTTTTGTTTTGTTGGTATAAGAAATATATGCACAATGGTATTGAGATGATGAACAAAATATATTGTTATAACTTGCTTTCAGTTTTATGAAAAATATATGCACAATGGTATTGAGATGATGAACAAAATATATTTGTTATAACTTGATTATAATACAAGGATCTTGCTTTCAGTTTTATGAAAATATTACCAGAAAATGGAAACTAGAGCAGCAGGTTATAATAAAGTGAGATTACCTAATTTGGCTCATGACTCATTCTCATCATCATTTGTAGACTCGTTCTCGAGATGCACCGTCTCAACAATATCTTGAATTCCTGCTTTCACCAAGTGTCCCTTGGACAGGTGAAACACTGAAAAAACAAAAACTATTAGATTACTAAGTAGAAAATAAATTTATATTTTGAAAACAAAATTAACCAACCTGTCACATAACCCCCCGTTGAAGGGTCCTTCCTTGAAGCATAACAAATAGCCGAGACGACTATATCTTTAGCTGCAGAATCGGATAGCGTCATCCTTGGAGACATCCTATTATAGTTAATATCATTAACATATACCAAGACGAGTGTAAGTTCCACATATTAATATTAATAGGATTCAATTATATGGACAATGGTATTGTTATAACTTGCAAGTAGAGGAGAACTGATTGTATCAATCAAGAATATATGGAAGTAGTGGGATACAAAATAGTGGATTGTAATTTCTACTCTGTAATTCCTACCCCTACTTCATACATCCACCTATATTTATAAGACACCAAGTCGGTGATGTTGCACTTTTGTTGACATTTTTATTTCTTATTTTCTTTTTTCTTAATGACCAAGTAAAATTTAGCTTCTAGAAAACGTTGTTGATATCTCCTGCCCACACGAATAGTGTCCTCTCATTTAAGAACTTATACTTGTTCGCGTGATCTGCAATTAAGAAAGATTTATTAGTTACTAACTAAATTGCTAATCTTTGACTTACTAACTAAACTGACTTTATATACCATTAGCAAAGCAAATCTTCCCGTCATCCGTTTTGGTACTGACGCGGGAATCTACTGCAATGGTCAGCCCTTCATCACCCCCATCTTTTTTAAGGTAACGGAAGGCTAGGACTGTTGTTCTTCCTCGGGAGGAGGAACGGAATGATTCTTTCACCTGGGGTGATGGCAGAAATTCAAATAGTGAGAAAGTTCGGATTGAGATTGTTCAACTATGAGCGTGAGAAAGATGAAAATGGCATGCTTACCTCTTTAGCAATGGCCAACTCGTGTATCGTCTTGTACAGAGCTCTCATGGGTGACCCAGCATCAACTGATTAATTACACATTTGGACAAGTATATTATATAGGTTATTTTGCAACCTTGAGTGTTATTTCACTATTAACAATACCGATAGTTGATTGTTTAACAAGTAGATATTGAATTGTAATTGACAATTCATGCCCAAAAAGCTAATTGAATAAAGAATTTACCAAACAAGCTATAAAAGAGTAATGAAAGAGGGAAACACATATAACACAGATCCATACCACAGATCACGTTTACATTGTATTGTGCATTGATACTACCGACAGCTATAAATAATTACTAGTATTATACTCAAACCAGACAAGAAGCGGAAAAGAAAGCAAGCCATTAATTGTAATTAAGATGAGAGATAATCCAGATTTTACAAACTTTTGAGGTACATCAAATTTGAGGCACACATACGTTTAACCTATTAGATAGAAGTATATATAAATATACATATATAAATGCATTGTTACCTAATAAATTGGCTGATCATTTTTTGTAAATAATTAAAGCAGCTAGATATCCTGATATACATACATTCACACTAGAAAAAGACTCATAAATTGAAAACAGAAGTCTCAAAATATCTTCCACAATTGCGTGAAATTTTTATTCGATGTTGTTTAGGGGAAAAATCTGATGATGAAGACATATCGGTATAAATGTATAGAGGAAACATGAAACATTACCCAAGGCACCTGGCTTGAAGTGTGGAAAGAGCCTCCTCGCTTAAACCCCGCTTTCTCTTGGAATCGCCTTTCATCTCCCTGGATGAGGGCGCGGGTTCTCGATTCGACCAAATTGGTTACTCGCTTGAAGTCGAACAATTCTTTCTATAGTGCTTAAACAAGGAACGAACTTACTCAATAAAGATGGGGCCTAGCTCCCATGAGTGCGGCCTAACAATCATTAGTGGGGCCGCTGATTCCGCTCTTCCTCTTTCTCTTCGATCTCGCCATAGGCGTAAAGGTGGTATTAGAAGGGGTCGCCGTCTCGCGTGATTATCGCTTTCAGGAAATCAATTCTTACTATTATTATAGTAAATAAGGCAAATCACTAAATCCCCATCTACAATTTTGTTCCAACCGAGCCATCTGGAAGATGAGTTAGATGAAATCAGACACGAGCATTCTGAAACGGAGGTTTTTAATATAGCACATTGGGGAAGTTACTTTCCAGCAGTGCCCATGGAAAGGGGAGCCGAAAGCTTATAAGTTTGTTTAACGGGTTGGGGTCAGAAATGGAAAGGCAGGGAGATGAAGCTCTGATGTTTACCCAAGATCGGAAACTGGAAAGAATCCCTAAATCTTTTAGTTTCATTTTTTATACAACGAAGGCACCTCTAATCTTCCAGATGATCAATCATGGAAAAGTTGGCAAGTCACTTTTCACTCGTAGACTAGCTTCTCAATTCCACTTTTTGCAGCTATATGAAACGAAAAAAGTGGAATTTCAATCATATCCTCGAAGATGCAATTATATCGAGCCTTTCTTCTTTTGAGAAGAGCTCGCGCACTAGCATTCCTTCACCCGATCGGAGACTACCCGGCTAAGTCCTAATCGGAGAATTCCAGATGTCTTGGAATACATTGAGAGAGGCTTTTTTATGTATGCAGAGGCTTAGTCAAAAGTAAAAAGAAAGCAACTTTCACTCGCTTAAAAGCGCCTCACTGTGCGAAGAATAGCCCTTCAAGCTAGATAACAGATCTGCCAGAGTATTGATCAAACCCCTTCCCCCGGGGTTTCGGTTTTGCAATCTAGCTCGGAAACATCCCGCGTGAGCGAGGGCAGCCCTCCAGCTCAGATTTCACTGGGCAATAGAAGGAAGTTAGTCTCTAATCCCCACCTAGGACAGTAACCATAGAACTTCACTTCTTAGCATTAGCAAGGGCAGCAAAGGAGGAAGCAAGAACTCTTCTCTCACCCGAAGGCGAGCGAGTGCACTACATTGAGTAGGAATAGAATAAGCTGTTGGGAAGAGAATACCACGATTTTGAAGATAAGGATTCGCATGCAAAGATTGAATCTAAGGCTACCCAACTATTTCAAAACTTCCTCGACAAGGCCGATCTTTAACCAGGAGATGGCACGTTCGGGTCCTTTTTGAGCCTTTCAGGTAGGAGTCAAAGCTCATGCATAAAGACTATAGGCCGGATTTCTGTCCATTACTTGAAAGGTGATGTCGAACGTCGTTGGACCAATTGAAATCGGTAACTCCACATTGACTATTACTTCCCTTCGAGTGCCATCAAAAGCCCTTACCACCATATAGCTAGGTTTAATGAATGATGGCTCGATGTTGCTTAAAGCTTTAGTTACACAGTTAGCTCCGAAGCAAAGTAGCAAGGCATATCAAAAAACTTTTCCAACTCAATCAGTAATTAGCATAGAGAAGAACCTAATTCAAAAGAAGCTGTCGTCCCGAAGCTGGGACATTAAAAAAGCATTTATGAGCCGCTTAGATACTAAAAAAAAAAACTACATTTGACTGACTATACTCTCTTTTTATCCCCCGCCGGCTATGAAAATCATTCTTGTCTCTCGAACGCCTGGCATACTAATACGAGCCGCATACTTGAATACTAGTGACATATTGAAGGAAAGGAGATTATGGGAATACTTATTTGAAATAGAAAAATAATGCTATTTTTAAGATGTTCACCCTTGCTTGTTAAGAGAGATTAAATACAGGTTTGACTCCATCTGGTGGTGGGGGGAAAGCATTCATTTACCACTTTCACTCACCGGGTAGTTGACATCTTCACCAAATTCTTCCACAATAACGTGCAAAGCGAGAGAGACAAAGAGGGCGAGTTGTTTCTCCGGAGAGGCGAATGTCCGGCGGCTGAGAAACAAAGAGAGGGCGAGTTGCTTCTCTCCAGAGGCGAATGTCCGGCGGCTGAGAAACAAAGAGAAGCGAGTTGTTGACTCTTTTTGACCTAATTACTATTGGACTTGCATAGACGGATTTGATTGGATATACATTTGCGGCTCATTATTATTGGGCCTCACAAAAAATGCTTGGGATTGGATATACATTAATTTGAATGTCAAACTTTTAGAGAAAAATTACTTTATTTGTATACTAGTACAACTAGTACGTAACCCGTGCGATGCACGGGATGTAAAATTTAGAAGAATAATATAACCTTACGTGCATTAGGATCGAAATTGAAATCATTAAAATACATAGGAACATTGTTGAATCATAAAAAGTTCGGTAACAATCATATATTATTAAAAACCTCCTTGTACACAACATTATGAGTTTGATTATTTGGTAACTCTCCATTATTACAAACTAATATTTTCAAAAGAGACAAATCCTAAAAATCAAACTAATATTTTAGGATTGGTGAACAAACTAATATTTTAGGATTTCTAGGATTGTCTCTTTTTGGTGAACAAACTAATATTTTAGGATTGGTTATATGAATAAGGCTACCTGTTTTTGGTGTTCTTTTTATTCATTTTCATTCAAACAATCCGATGACTTGTATAATGAAATCCGAATCTTAAGCCGAAATATTTAAAAAAAGAGTTTTAAAAAATTGAAAAGTCAAGGCAATCAGTTCAGATTAATAATTAAAGGTCAAAGAATATCTGCTCCTTGAAATAAAGACGTGTGCTATCATTAACCAAATATCCAGTTATTGATATAGAATGATTACCAAAAAATAGAACGCGATAAGGACGCTTCATGAAAATATTAGTGGGATAAGGTCATAACAGATCGCCAAGGATTGCCCCCCTCAAATTTTAATTCTTTTTACTATTATAATTAAAAAATTTAATTTTCTTTAATTTTTTTTACTATAATAATTAAAAAATTTAATTTGCCCCCTCTTAAATGATTTTCTGCACCCCCAAAATTTTTTGTCATGTCTTTTTGTCTCCTCTCAATTAATTTTCTGGTTTCGCCACTACAGATCGCTATACATTTTAACGATAAAAGCTCAGATGAAATGATTTATGATAATTATGTCGTAATTAATGAATTAATTAGATGTGTGAAAATGACATAATTAATGAGAAGTGTGAAAAGGACATAATTAATGAGAAGTGTGAAAAGGACAAAAACTTACCAGTTTTGGAAAATATTTAATGCAAATCCGACATTGATCATAATTTGACCTACTATTTTAGAAAAATGTTAATTCTTATTATATAAGTATAGATACCCGTGTATTGTACGGGTACTTGTTAAAAAAATATTCTTAAATTTTAAAATTAAAAAAAAAAGTATTTTAAAATTTAAATACTTTCTACAAAAAATATACTACCTCCTATTTTTTTAAATGTCATTTTGACTTTATCAACTATTAACTAAATAAATGTCGTTTTGGATATTTTGTACATATTTTTTCGTCATTGGCCTCATTTAGCTAATAAATACCCTACGTATTTTCATATTCGCTCTTCAGTCTATCTCTATCTTCATTAAATAGGGTTATTATCGGCAAAAAAATATTCTTAATTACTGTGCAACTTCTCAAAACGACATTTATTATGAATAGGAGGGAGTATATTATTATATATTTTAAAATGATACTTGTTACTTGTACACTTACCTGTGTTATATATATATATATATATATATATATATATATACTAATTGATAAATAATTTTATTTTTCTAATTAATATAATAAATAATTTTATGATTATTATAACGATAAATATAATGTATTTATGTTATACATACAATATGGATGTCAAATCAAAGCTCATCAAAAGATTATTAATTTGGTATATTATATATATAAAACCAATAAGAGTTATCAACCTTTAAAAAGTACATATACAATTTAAATTGTTATAATAGAAAATGATATTAAATGCAACTAATACTTCTATAATGACAATAGTCAACATATTTATGGAATCCGAACCTAATTGTTTTTGGATTGGAAGTAAATATAAATTTATCCAAGTCAAATAACGAAACATGGAATTTTTCCAAGTAATATTACGAAGCATGCGAGTCTGCTACTTAGGCTCAGCACATTCTGAAATTATATATAAAAGGGACTAGTATAATACCCGTGTACTACACAGGTACATGTTAAAAAAATTATATTTCAAATTAAATCATAATAACAACAAAAATTATTTTAATTTTTAAATACTTTTTAGAAAATATATTATTATTTATATTTAAATTGGCATTGTCACTTAAACGACTTACCATCTTATATTATATAATTTTTTTAATTTATATCAGATAACTACTTTGTAGTTAAAGTAGATTAAATAATTATATTTTTCAATTTAATATTTATAAATAATTTAATTATAATTATAAATATAAATAAAATTATTTAATTATTTTATATGTATAATAAAGATGTCAAATCAAAATTTACGAAGACATGATTAGTTTGAACTATTATATATAAAAATTTAATATATATATATATATATGTGTGTGTGTGTGTGTGTGTGTATGTATTTTAATTTGATATATTAATCATTTTAACTGTAACATCCAATTTGGAAAAGTGAGAGATTCCAAAATAAATTCTAAGGCTTTCTACAGTGTATCGCCGGTGATATTGTGCCTTTAAGATACCGAAGTACCCTATCTAAGACTTCTCAATGAGTTCTATTAGGAAAACTTGTATATCTAGTTAGCTTTGACACGAAAATTGATATATCTGTTCTCGTACCATTAGCTAAATATTGCAAGCTTCCAATAATTCGAGAATATATCAATTGAGCCGCATAAATACGACTTTCATTTTTGAAAAGAGACACAGATGGATCATATGGAGTTTTAGCAATTCTACAATCTTTATAACCATATTTCTCAATTATTTTCTCAACATAATGAGATTGAGAAATGGCTATACCTTTAGTTGAACGAATCAACGTAAGGCCAAGAATTATATTTGCCTCTCCCATATCCTTCATTTCAAATGTGCTTCTTAGAAATGATTTAGTCTCTGCAATTATTTCATAAGCAAATCCTATTAACAGAATATCATCTACGTATAGACATAAGATTATACAATTATCACATTTAACCTTAAAGTATATGCACTTATCATTATCATTTATCACAAAGACCGAATGATAAAATAATTTTATCAAACTTTTCATGCCATTGTTTAGGTGCTTGTTTCAAACCATAAAGAGATTTAACAAGCTTGCAAACTTTATGCTCGTTACCTAGAGCTATAAATCCCTCAGGCTGATCCATGTAAATTTCTTCATCAAGAAAAAGGCAGTTTTTACATCCATTTGATGAATATAAAGATTATACACAGAAGCCAGGGCTATGAGCACACGAATAGTAGTTAAACGAGCAAAAGGTGAATAGGTATCAAAGTAATCTATTCTCACTTTTTGTTTAGACCCTTTGGCAACTAATATGGCCTTAAACTTATCAATGGTTCCATCAGAATTAAGTTTCTTTTTGAAAATCCATTTACAACCAATTGTATTACACCCCGGAGGTAGTTCAACTAATTCACATGTCCCATTAGAGACAATAGAGTCAATCTCACTTTTGATAGCTATTTTCCAATGCTTAGCTTCTAGTGAAGTCATAGCATCTTTGAAAGTTATTGGCTCGTCCTCGATATTGTAAGTTGTTTGTCCCATTTTTGTTGCATTTTTTGTGCTCGCTTTGCTTTTCTTTATCCTCCGTTTTAGATCGTTTCTTTCGTTTTTAGTTTGTTTCGTGTTTTATTATGTGTTTTTCTTTATTTTGGGTCTTTAGGTGTTTTTTCGTTTGTTTTTCCGGTTTTCTTCGTGTTTTGTCGTTTCTGGTGTGTAGGTCGGGATCTTCGGGCGAATTTTCTCTTCAAAAAAAAGTTGGTTTCGAGAGCATAATTGGATACATGGGTTCATTAGCGACGATTAGCAAAAAACATAACTCAATTCCGAGTTCAGTCGAGCCCAAACGAGCCCGAAATGTAAAATGGCGCAGTGCAGTCCAAAGTCGCGACTCGCAACTTTAACAGAGCCTCCAACCAGCCTGCGCGACCTCACGACTCGTCAGACTCGCAACTCGCGAGTCGCGACCTGTTCGATCCTGTTTTTATTTTTCTCCGTTTTTACTCGTTTTAGCTCCGTTTTTCGAGCACTATATATCAAAACGATCCTTAGACTCGTGGGAACAATCCCCAATATCTTTCCTTTCAATTTTTCTCTCCAAAAACTCAATATTGTTAAGATAATTTTTTCCGCTTTTCTTTTTTTTCTCTCATGCTTGTATTGTTGGACACAAAAATATTTGGATTGAAATCTTGCAATTCTTAATCCGATTGTAAGTTTTTCAATTCCATTTTATTATTGTTGATTGGTTTTATGTTCTTATTTCCGGTTAACATGAAATTGAATCTAAGCATAAGGTAATCCATTCACCTAAGGTTAGGGGTTTTGATTTTTGTTTTGAATTATGAGGAATGTGTTTTGTTCAATCTATACGAGTTGTGTGAAGTATAAGTGGTAACGCAAAACACTCCGACCGGCTTGAAATCGACTCCCCTTCCTCTTCCTCGCCGGTAGAACGCCGCGCACCTGCACAGAACTCTCACACAGGAGGAGTTTTTCGGTGAAGAGCCTCCGATGCTTAAGTCAGTATGTATTTGTTCAATTTTCCAAGTAAAGAATGGATAAAATCGTAAGTCACAAGAAAATATCCACTCCCATATATATAGAAGTGAGATACCTGCCCTAGGAGCTGCCCGGATTTTGGTGAGCTGTCCTGCCCGTACTGCCCGTCTGTACACACATAGTGTGCGTGTTGTCAGAGATGTCAGAGGTGGCTAACGCCACTATCACTTTGCACCAATGTATTCTCGCCACGTGTCCCTCTGAGCTGGGGAAGATTATTCTCCTGCGCAGGCCGTTAGGATCTTCTAACGCCACCCACGCGCTTTCCCGCGTTCAGGCCACGCTCTCGACCGCTCTCCACCTGTTGGATGCTCGATCTGATCGAGCCCCCCATTGCTAGGCCGATCCTCGACCAGTTCTGCTATTCTGCTCGATCTTTTTCCTTTTGGTCGATCATCCTGTTTTCTCCACTTCGCGCTTGCCCGACCGATGCAGTAGACCGGTCTATTCCTTAGTCATATAATATCCCATATCAATAGGGTTAGTTGATTGATCACCATTCTAACCTAGTTAATCGACGTTTAGAATCGAGAGGGGAGATGTCAGTCGATTTAGGCTCGTATAGAGTAGACATGGTCGTAAAAGTATTGTCTATGTGTTGCTTGTTTGAATGAGTTTATCGTTTATGTTTGTGCTCTTGTTACAAAGAGTTATTGAGCATAGCCCTCTAGACGTGTAGGCTTGTTAAATCTCATAACCGAACAAATAAGCGTTCAACATAGTTTAAGACTTGATGAGATTTCTCGACCCCTAGAGCTTCTTCTTTTTCTCTAAAAATTTAATTGTTATTTCTTTAAATTGCTTTTCTAGTTCTAGTTTGTTTTAGTTAATTCCCCAAATCAATCGTGATTAGAGTGTTTAGGACTTATTTTCTTTTCGTGTGTGATCAAGGCCAATGCTAAATTCCGAACCGTCTTCCTCGAGAGATCGACCCGGGGAACGGATCTTTTGATTCTGTACTCGGTAAAAATATAAAATAATTTGCTACAACATAAGTGATAAAATCACTTTCAAAAACCTTAACAATTCTAGCTTGTTTGCTCCGTCTAGGTTCATCCAATTCTGTTTGTAAAGAATCCAAACTACTTGGATTAACCCCCTTGTCATCTTTTCCACATGTTCAGGAATTGATGATGATGTAAGGGCCGCATCCAAGACATCATTTTGGGGTATTCCATTTTTCATAGGAAAAACATCCTCAAAGAATGTAGATCTTGGAGTTTAACAATTGTGTTTACATCTATGCCAACAATTTCTGATTTAACAACCAAAAATCTAAGAGCATAGCTAGTTTCCACATAGCCCAAAAAGACCGCATCAATAGTTTTAGGTCCTAACTTTTTCCTTTCGTGCTCAGGTACTAGAACTTTTGCAAGATAGCCCCACACACGAAAGTACTGTAAGCTAGGTTTTCTACCTTTCCATGATTCAAATGCTTTCATTGTGTTTCAGAGGGACTCTGTTCAGAATATGGCAAGCCGTATTCAAAGCCTCTCCCCACATGTACTTAGGTAATCCAGAATTCAACAAAAGACTATTGATCATATCTTTAAATGTTCAGTTTTTCCGTTCTGCAACCCCATTAGACTGAGGAGAATATGGAGGAGTTTCTTCATTAATTATGCCAAAAATTCGATAATATTCACTAAATGGGTTATATTCATATTCTCCACCTCTATCTGATCTTAACCGTTTAAGTTTCTTACCAGTTTGTGTTTCAACTTCATTTTTAAAAATAATAAATTTCTCAAGTGCTTCACCCTTATGTTTAATCTATTATTATATAAAAAGAATAACTTTTTTTACAATTTTAGAAATGTTTTCCCGCCAAATTCATTAAATATATTCTATATATAGTAATTGTTGGACAATATTAATTAAGGCAACAAAATCGGAAGATTAATTGTGTTAGAATCTATTTTTCTTTTCCTGTTAGATTAATTGTGTTTGAATCTGTTTTCCTTTTTCCCGTATTGAAAATGGCGTTATAAAATCTCATAGCATAAATCTAGAGTTTATCTCTTATCTGTTACAAAATCCCATTGCATAAGTTTAAAAAATCTCATCTTTTATCTATAATCTCATAGCATAAATCTAGAGTTTATCTCTTACTTGTTACAAAATCTGCATATGTCTCACGAGTTTAAAATATCTCATCTCTTATCTATAAAAATTTTAAAAAATAAAATAAAATAGAAACCAATTCATAATTACTACTAGAAATCTATTATCTAATCCCAGGATAAGAACATTAGTAAATGATTGGGAAGGCCAAGGATCATACTGAAAATTCAAATCCTTCTACATATTGTAGAAATATCAAATGCACAACATGCATAAAATCAAAAGTAAAAGTATTTTTTTTTTCCTTATTGAGAAAGAAATAGATTTTAATTTTTAAGATAAGATCAATAACAAATAGTTCAGTTTTGAAATGTTCATACGTAGCTGTATCGATTTGGTTCATAACCTGCAAGCTGTATTGGGCTGTTTTTTGTCATCAGTTCCCATATTCTCAAGAATGCACAATAATAAAATCATATACACTATCTTCTTATCTTTAATGTTTCGATTTCATCTTTCTTTACAATTGTTAGAATCAAAAGGCCTAACGTCATTCTCTTACATTTTGGTCTCCTTCACCAACATAGAAAAACCATAGTCCTAAATTTGTTTCGAAAATCAAAAAGCACAAACTCGGAGCAAATTCTAGCATCATGATTAACATACAGCTAGCTACCTACTCAAGCACACAAGATCGTAGTTTTAGCACAACTGAACAACGCAGCAAGCAGATCAAAACAAAGCACAAATGCCACTACCGCTCACCCGATTCACAAACATCAAAAGTTAATTTGAGAAATGCAAACTTAAAAATCTCAACCAGAACAGAATTAAGCTGAAACAAATCCGAAAAGAAAAAAGGGGAAAATCTCGATTCAGTTAGCTGAGAGAGAGTGTGTGTGTGTACGGCGCAGGCGAAAAAACTGAGGACCCGAACGTGGTGGTGAGAGAGGTGAAGCGCAGTGGAAGGTGCAATGGTGGATGTGAGCTGGGAGGAAACCGACGGCTCGGACGGCGCATTCTCCGCCGATTGAACAGAGACGGAAGCGAAATGTCGGCAGATGGGCAGCCGGAGAGACTGCCGGCGGCGGGAAACTAGGGCGGCGCCCCATCCACAGCTCCGGCGGACTCCCGCAGGCTTCGAAACCTGCAACCTCGACGCATCCAACATCGATGGATCGATGGCTAAATGAGAGAGTGTACGCACAAATGTACACATATGCACATTTGTTTCAGCCCTCGCAGTCTCCGAACAGCGCCATGGTTAGAATTTTTCTATTTTTTTTTTTTTTTATCGGGCCATGGTTAGAATCAATTTCTCCATTTTTTAGTAAAGACACGAGGTATATGGGATGTATGGATTGCAATGGGCCTCTCGGGCCAGGCCGGGCCGATCCTGGTAGTCTCGAATCTGGCCCTAGCCCGTGGTCTTGCCCTGTCGACCGATTCGGATCCAATTGAGGTGAGCCCGTGACTTGCATGCCACCGGTCGGGCCGAAGTTTAGTACGCGGGCCTATTGTTTATTAAATGGAATGAACCCAATTTGGGATGTCTAAAAATGAGACTGATCCGACCCGCCCTAAATGCTATGGGCCGGACTTGGCAACCCAGCCCAAATTGTGACCCTTACTAGGATGGCCTCATTTGACCCCAATTAATAGCCCTAAACAATTTTATTAATTCATCCAGAAACTCGTCCTGAATGCAGATTCACAAGCAATGTCTCATTCTCAAGAAAAAGAGAGAAATGTTATCCCCATGCACACTCACACAACCATTTTAGCTGCACTAATTTTAAATAATATTAAGTTATTTAAAATCACAAATAATATTAAATAATATTAAGTTATTTAAAATCACAAAATTAGCCATAGGTATCTAATCCCGCTTAGTTAATGTAGACTATGGGCTTCGAATAAGTTCGTTTATGTTACTGTACACGATGTTTCTATGTGTGGTGTAATGTTAACATTGAATTGAGAGATTTAACCTTGAGGTGCTTGATTCCAAATATAGACAGCGTAAATCCCAAACTTAGGGAAGAAGGTTTAATAAATGAACCAAATGAAGTCGTAAAGCACAAAGATTACATTTTGACATAGTAACTTCTTGATTGTTAACTGGAGGTTTGGTTTATCTAAGTCAATCTAAGCTACAAAAGGCATGTGTTGGGAAATTAGAACATATTCAAATGTTGGATTGCTCAAAAGACAAAACCTAGTAAATATAAATATATTTAATTACACCTAGGTTCAACTATAAAACATGGTATGGAGTGGAGTGTAGGGTGAATCTTATATGAAACTAGTTGAACTATATATTTAATTTTAAGTACTTTTGTATAATTTGTATTTTCTTCTTTCTTATACTTTTTTATATAATTCCACTATGAAGAGAAACNATTAATTGTCATTTCTTTTATGAATTGTTTCATATTGCAATTATTATTCATGAAATCTCATGCAACATATTTGTATGGATTTTATATTTGGAAATGACGGACTTTATGACGCAACTTATTAACAGAATATGTAGAAAATAAACAGAATAATTTTCATCGGCAATGCATTAATACGAACTACACTGGAAAGTACAGCCGATGAAAAAGACGAACATTACATTGTACATACATTTCTCATGGCTAAAGAGAGTGTTTCTCTGATAAACGATGTACCAACTTCGAAAGGTGCAGGGGAACGTAATGTGAAGCGGAAAGATAAATTTCATGCAAAAACATAATTACAAATATTGTATTAATTATTTGAAAAATGATATATAACTAACCTAGTATACAACTATGTTGACAACACAAGTGAAAACATCCACTTATGTATTTTTTTATTTTTATTTTTGTAAATGTTTTCTACTTGTGTTTCAATCTAATTGTACACTAAGTTGGCAATATAGCATTTTTCTAATTATTTTTTAAAACAAACAAGTTCCAAAAACTCGTTTAAATTTTTTACACAGATCAAGTTGCTCATGCACTCGACTTGTTAAAACTCAAGTTTTTGCTCAAACATTAGCATATCATCCAAAACCAAAAATCTACCGAGCATTATTGCGCGTAAACGCTTCATTAAATATTCAAAATAAGTTCACTCACAGCATTTGATTTCCTTCATCCGTCTACTGATTTAATTATCTACCGATACACAAATAGAACTGATCAAAACAAAATAATAAATAAAACTGAATCAAAATTCGATTGATTTCCAACTATTTTCCTCCCGATTTCCCCAACTCTCGACTCTTTTGGTACACTTTCTATTTTCTAATATATGAAAAGCCATACGTTTCTCTCAAGCATTTGCAAAAAGTTTACAAATATTCTGGAGAAAACATTCACAGCACCAACCAGACATGGATGACAAGTAATGGCTTGTACTTGCTTTCTTTCACCTGGCTTCACAAAACCATCTGAGCCTTACCATAGTATCTGTTGATGAAGGGTGACTGCAATGCAGAAAGATTGGATAAGTGAAAAATGTGAGTTTTACTTTACCACAATATAAGATAGCACTAAGATAAAAACAAAAAATGGGTTATAAGTACGAACATTATGAAATCAGTCATATAGACATAAAATAATTACACAATAACTTAAGCCAAAGTTATTGAAATGTTTTTATTAAATTTCCATCCAAAATCGGAAAAAATAAATATGTCGAAAAAACTAAAATTAACTTGGAAAGAAACCAACCAAACAATCCAATAAGATAGCAAGTTGTCTATATAAGCAGGACACAGATGATGATTTCTAATGTTTTAGTTTTCTATCTCATGAAGAATTTGAATGACTGGATCTACAACAAACAAGACCAATGGCTCAAATATTGAACACCCAAGCATCTTTATATAAGTGTTCGTTGCAATTAATTTTCAAGCAAGTATAAACATGAAGCACTACATAACATAGCAGAAGCTTTCAAAATGTATATATTTGAAAGCTAGCAGAAAATATCAAACTCTCAGAATTCTTCTTGTCATGCTTGACAACTTATCTGAAAGCCAGGTAAAAAAAAACACTTTTGAACTACATAAGCAACAATCACTCAAAAGCAGTCTCAAAATTACATCAGGATTTAAAAAACACCCCACCAGAAAGAGAAAATGTTTGTCTTAAGCTTGAGAAAATTCACCTTCACGCTTGATACATCGGGTGTGTCAGGTGTGGATACAGGATAGAATTTGTAGAATTTCATATTCTCAAACGCAGCCCTGGTTTCTTCACTCATTTCTGCCAGTGCTTTTTTGCGAGCTTCCCTAGCCTAGAGA